TACTTGTGGCTCTATGCTCAGGGATCAGTCCTGGCGAGGGTCATAACACAGCAGGTAGGGTGTTTACCATGCATGCGGCCAGCCAGGGTTTGGGGGACCACATGAAGTGCCAGAGATTGAACCCAAGTCAGACACATACAAGTCAGATGTCCTAGGTGTTGTACTATCTCTCCAGCCTCTGAAAGTTGTTTCTTCTTATGTTTGGGTAGGTCTTTTTCTTTGGTTTCTTAAATTTCATATACGAGGGAAACAATTTGCTGATTATCTTTTACTTCTGACTTGTTTCACTTAGCATAAATCACCTCAAGTTTTGTCCATGTTGTTGCAAATCACAGTGCTGTTTATTTTAATAGCTGAATTGCATTCCATTTATCTAAAGCACAACCATTTTATATAATATATATGCATATGCATATACATGCATATGTTATATATGCATATATATTTTATATGTGTGTGTGCAGAGCCTGGCAAGCTTCCCATGGCATATTCGATATACCAAAAACAGTAACAGTAAGTCTTACAATGGAGACGTTACTGGTGCCAGCTTGAGCAAATCCATGAACAATGGGAGGACAGTGCTACAGTATATATATATCGCACAACCATTTGGGGGTAATGGTAAAGTAGGGGATTGGGCCACACTCAGTGGAGCTGGGATTATTTCTGGTCTGTCTCTCAAGTGACGTCTGGTGGTGTTCAGGGAACCACACATGGTGCCCAGGATTTGGACCAGGACTGGCTATATGCAAGGCAAGCACCTACCTCCTTACTATCTCTTCAGTCTTATACCAGAACTTCTTTACCCAGTCACTGTGTATGATGGTTTGCAGGATGATTCTATGTTTTGGCTATAATGAGCAATGCTGCTATGAACATAAGGGTGTAAATACTTTTTCAAATTGGTGTTTTCATATCCTTTGAATAAATGCCCAGGAGTGGTACTATGGGATCATTATAGGACCATATAGTATTTCCATTTCCATTATTTTTGTTTGGATTTTGCTTGGGGACCACACCCACTGGTGCTCGGGATTATCCCAGTGTGGTGCCCAGCGTACCATCCATGCCTCCCTCTCTCAAAGCATATGTGCTAGTTTTGAACTATCTCCCTGACTCCGAGGGTTGTATTCTTAGTTTTCTCTTCCTTCTAATTCATTGTATATATAGAAATGTAATAGATTTTGTGTATTATTTTTGTATCTACCACTTTATTGTAGTTTTATTGTGGACCCCTTAGGGTCTGCTATGCATGTTATCATTTTATGTAATAGTTTTATGTCTTTTCCAATCGGAATACCTTTTATTTGCCTAATTGCTCTGGGTAAGACTTCCAGAACTGTATTAAACACTAATGATGAGGGAATGGAGCAATAGTACAGTAGGTAGGGTGTTTACCTTGTATGCAGCAGACCCAGGTTTGATCCCCGGCATCTCATATTTCCCCCTGAGCACCTCCAGAAATAATTCCTGAATGGAAAGCCAGGAATAAGCCCTGAGCATTGCCAGAAGTGCCCTCAACCCCACCCCCAAAAATAAAACCCCAAGCCAAAAAAAAAAAAACAACAAAATAAAAACCAGCAGTAATGAGGATAAATATCCTTGTCTTGTTACTGGTCTTTGAAGAAAAGCTTTCAGTTTTTCACCATTCAGTATGATATGAGTACAATATATGATATCACCGATTGTCTTTTACAATGTTGAGATATGTTCCTTTGACTTCTTATTTATTTAAGGTGTTTTTTCTTTTTTTTTTTTTAAATTGAATCACCATAAGATATAGTCACAACAATGAGACTCCCAGGTCGCTGCCCATGAATGGCCTCTCTGGCTCCTGATCAAGCTGCTTAACGCTCATTATCTCAGAGACTCAGGAACAAATCTTGGAAACCAGCAGGTTTTGGCAGAAATCCCTCCAGATTTAACTGTTAAAATTTTGAAATTCCAAAATTGCGCGGTCACTACTGTGGCCGCGTGACATCAATGTTATTCATAATTAGCAATAGAAAGCACAAATAGTCTATGGTTGCCTTTTTGGCAGATATGAATGTTGGGGTAAAATCCCAAATAATAATGGGGGGTCTGGTGTCGAAATATTGAATGTGATCAAAGTAGAGAGAGAGTAATGTGGAAGCCATCTGTCCCACAGGTAGGGGGAGGGTGTGGGATGAGGGGGTTATACTGGGGTTTTTGGTGGTAGAAAATGGGCACTGGTGAAGGAATGGGTGTTTCATCATTGTATGACCGAGACTTAAACCCGAAAGCTTTGTAACTGCTCTCATGGTGATTCAATAAATAAATTTATAAAAAGGGGGGAAAAAAGTAAGGTTGAGTTCATGCCTAATTCAATCAGCCTAATCAATGTCTGAATAAATGACAATACTCCTACATCTATATATATATAGTCACAAAATTGTTCACGATTGGGTTTCAGTTATACAATGTTCCATCACCTATCCCTTCACCGGTGTACATTTCCACCACCAATGTCCCCAGTTTCCCCGCCACCCTCTACCCCTGGCCTACCTCTGGGCTAGGCACTTTTGTTCTTTCTCTCTCGCTCTTTCCTTTTGGGCATTATGGTCTGCAATACAGGTGCTGAAATGTTGTCATGTTTGTCCCTTTACATGAACTGAATCAGCACTCAGTTCTTGTTCAGAGTGATCATTTCCAGCTATCACTATCATAGTGGTCCCTTCTCTATCCTAGCTGTCCTCTCCCTACCACCACTTGTGGCAAGCTCCAGCTGTGGACCATTCCTCATGGCCTTTGTCTCTACTCCCTCGGATACTAGATATATATCTATATATATCCCACAAATGAGTTTAATCATTCTATGTCTGTCCCTCTCCCTCTGACTCATTTCACTCAGCATGATACTCTCCATGAATTTGAGAATTTTTATCGTAAATATTCGTTGAATCTTGTTAAATGTTTTATCAAGTATCTATGGATTTTGTGATTTTTTTCTTTTATTGGTGTGATGTATCACATTTATTGTTTCGTGTGTGTTGATTCTACAGCTTCATATTCTTGGAATATGGTGATCTCATAGGAGTCTTTCAACTCTATTGCTGAATTTGGTTTCCCAAAGTTGTGAAGATTTTTGCATCTATGTTCATCAGAAGTGTTGGTCTATATAGTGGTGGGGCAGGGGTGGGGAAGTATTTACTTCTCTGAGTTTTTTTGAACAGTTTGAGAATAGATACAATGTGTTCTCTTGGTGTTTGGTAGAACCCCCTGGGAGCGATTGCTTCTGTTGGGCTCAGTTCCTGCTCCCTGCCCAATGCTGTGATGGAACGGGGTTTGAGCGCTTGGTTTCGTTCTCCCAGACTGGGGACCTGCAGCAGTGCTGGGCTTCTGCCACCGAGACAGGCAGCTGTCCCGCAGCTCTGGCCCATCCCCGGCTCTCTGGATCTTTGTGCTTAGGGAGAGTTCTGATTACTGTTTTATGTTTTGCGCTTCTGATTCATCTGTTCAAGTTATGTATTTCTCCCTGGTCTAATCTAGGAAGATTCGATTTTTCATTTGCTTGTTTGTTTGTTTGTTTGGGGGCCACACCCAGGCCTGGTCAGGGCTGCTTCTGAGTCTGCTTAGGACTTACCCCAGGAGAGGTTCACGGGCCGCATGTGGTGTTGGGGTCACACCTGGGCTGGCATGTGTAAATGCCACACTCTCTTTGGTCCCTTGGAAGATTGTAGGATTCTAAATGTGCCTGGGGTGGGGGGTGTTGTGGATTTTATCTTGTTCTGCTTTGGTTCTGGCCCACACTCAGCTGTGGCAGGGACTGTGTTGGGTGCCGGGGATCAAACCCGCATCCACATGCGTGCGGCAGAGTCCTGTCCCCCTGCTGCTGCCCAGGCCCCTCCACCTGTTGGGTTTTGTCATTTTCTGTCCCTTGAACTTTGAGGTGAGATTGGCTGTTGGTTTGCTTGTTTCATTTTTGGGGCAAACCTGGCAGTGCTCAGGGCTACTGACTCAGTGCTCATGGCTGCTGAGTGGCTGGCAGTGCAGTACCTGTGGTCAGCTTCTGGCCTCGTGCGAGGAGAGCATGCGTGCAGCCCACTGGGCTGAAAGATGAGCATCTTTCAGGTTACATGATTTATTTGAGACTTTTTGTACTCATGTGGGCTTGCATTTTTATGAACTTTCTCTTAATACTGCTTTTTTCCCCCATTTTTTGCATTTTTGGTTGCACCCAAGCAATGTTCAGGGGTTACTCCTGGCTCTGCACTCAGAAATTACTTCTGGTGGTGCTGGGGGAACCATACGGGATGCTGGGGATCGAACCCGGGTCTGCCATGTGCAAGGCAAACACCCTACCTGCTATACTATCGCTCCAGCTCCTTTTGTTGTATCTTGTAGGATCTGATAGTTCATCTCTTCCTTTTCTTTTCTTTTTTCTTTTCTTTTTTTTCTTTTCTTTCCTTCCCTCCCTCCCTCCCTCCTTCCTTCTTTCCTTTCTTCCTTCCTTCCTTCCTTTCTCTTTCTCTCTCTCTTTCTCTTTTTGGGTGACACCCAGCAATGTTCAGGGGTTACAACTGGCTTTGACTCAGAAATCACTCCTGGTGGTGGTCGTGGGATCATGTAACCATCTGGGATGCTGGGAATCGAGCCTGGGTCTGCCATGTGCCCTGCCTGTTATACTGTTGCTCCATCCCCCAATCATCTTTACATTTCCACTGGTCTCCAGATAATCCTGATTTCTTTCTTTACCCAAGAATTGTTCACCAGCACGAGACCATTTCTTCACATGCGGTTTTCCCTCCACATTTTGGGATTTTTGTAGTTTTCTTTTCCTAGTTTTCTTGTCATGGTTGATTTTTAGCTTCATACCAGTGTGGACTGAAAAGGTGTTTGAGACCATGTTGATGTTTATTGAAATATCAATATATACATCATGTCTCCATTTATGCAGATAATGACTCAAATAGCTCCTGTGTTGGGACGCTGTGATTGGACCGTGATCCAAGAGCTGTGTCTGTCCCTCTCTCTCGCAGGAATTCGCCCCTACAAATGTGACATCTGTAACAAAGCCTTCACCCAGCGCTGCTCCCTGGAGTCTCACCTGAAGAAAATCCATGGCGTGCAGCAGCAGTATGCCTACAAGCAGCGCCGGGACAAGCTCTACGTCTGTGAAGACTGTGGCTACACGGGCCCTGCCCAGGAGGACCTGTACCTGCACGTGAACAAGGCCCACCCCGGCAGCGCCTTCCTCAAAAAGACATCCAAAAAACTGGCAGCACTTCTGCAAAACAAGCTGACGGCCACCTTCCAGGGGAATGCCAACCTGAGTGAGGAGGAGAAGTGAGGAGGAGGAGGAGTAGGAGGAGGAGGAGGAAGAGGAGAGGGCGAGGAGACTCCAACCATTGCCACGTTTACATGGGTAGGGGGTTTGGAGAGACCCCACCTCATTGACTTTAATTTCAAGTGTTTCCTTTGTCTCTGTCTTGGTGGGGGGTGGTCCCGTGTCTGGGTGTGTTCCCGATGTTTCCATTATAACAATGGCCACAGGCCACAGAACTTCTGTCTGGCTGGACAGTCACGGTGATGGGCTTGGCTGCGCTGGCTCCGTTGGCTGCCTGTGAGCACCGGGGTGATTGTTTTGTTTTATTTTGTTTTGTCTAGGATTTTCACACAGAAGTGGAAATGTTCTTAGAGAGACCATCATTTCATGGTGCCTTGTATTTCCACTTGAAATGCTATGTGAGCAAGTAAAATGAATTTTATTATTTGAAAGCGATTGCAGGAATTATTGTAACAAATGAAATGCTCTTGTGAAATATTTCTTATTAGCACACAGTGCGTATGCGTGCCTGTGTGCCTGCGTATGCACGTACACACACACACACACACACACACACACACACACACACACACAGGCTGGGGATGTCTCAGTGGTACATGTACATGCCTTGCATGCATAAGTCCCAGGTATGATCCTTGACACAGAGAGAGAGAGGAGGAGGGAGGAAGGGAGGCAGAGGGTGGGGGAGAAAGGGAGAGGGAGGGAAGGTGGGAGGAAGAAAGAGAGGAAGAGGGAGGGAGGCAGATATAGAGAGGGGAGAGGGAAGGGGAGGGGGAGAGAAGAGAGCCCGAGGAGCTACAGCTCCTTCCAGGCTTCTTGTGGCTCATCTCTATGGCCACCGGTGGGGTCACTGCAGAGGTGCTTCTTGCTTCTAGACTGAAGTGGGCCTGGAAGCGGGTGTGCTGGAGCCAGCACCATGGAAACTCACTGGCACACACACTGCAGCTTGCAGGCTTGCCGGGCTCATGGCAGTTCCAGCTAATCTCTTCAAGGGCTTGTGACTCCCCAGCACAGTGACGTTTGGCCACTTGCATCTCCACCTGGGAGAGTGACAATACAGTGACCTGAGGTAGACATAGGTGCTTGAGAGACAACTGGTGTTGTGGGCATGGCAGCTGACCCGAGTTCAGTCCCCAGTACCCCCATATGATCTCCGAGGCCACACCAGGACTATGGTTGAGCAGAGAGCCAGGAGGAAGCCCGAGCATCTCTGTGTGTGTCCTGAAAATAAACAACAACAACAACAACAGAGAAAAAGAAATAAAATACAAAAGAAAGAGAAACTTATTTCTTTGTCCTCTTGCAGTTCTGGGTTGGAGGGCTGTCTCTGCACCTGTGTTCTGACCTGAGATTTCTAGTCTTTGCTTAGTTGGGGTTTTGTCTGTTTTGGGGCCACACCCAGCATCACTCAGGGCTTGCCCCTGGCTCTGTGCTCAGGGCTCAGGGAACCATATGGGGTCCCAGAGATCAAACCTGGTTGGCTGCTTGAAAGGCAAGTGCCCTACCTTCCATCCTATCACTCTGGCCCCTGCCCTTAAAAAAAAAAAATATATATATATATGTGTGTGTGTGTGTGTGTGTATAAGTATATGTATGTGTGTGTATATATATACATATATATATTGCTGGGGGGAGGGGTACACTCATGTTGTTCAGGGATTAAACGTGGGTTGGCTGTGTGCAAGGCGTGTACCCTGCCAGCTATACTATCGTGTTGGCTTCATTTGTTTTTACCCAGACTTCTGTTCTTGTTGCTCTGTCATGCCTTAAGACACTTTGAAGACTTTGTTTCTTTTTCATTTTTTTCCCCCACACCCACCATGGTTTTAGGGTTTACTCCTGACTCTCTGCTGGGGGAATCATTCCTGGCGTGGCTCAGGAGACTGTACGTGGTACTGGGGAGTGCCTCTGGGTGGGCTGCATCCTACCCACCATGCTGTCTGTGCAGCAGGCTATCATTTGCAGCTGCCAGGGAGCTGGCCCTCAGGATTTGGGTTGACAGGAGTTGTCTTGGTTGGAGTTCTTCCTACAGCAGATTCTGTTGCAAGGATTCACGTTCAAGCTGATTGTTTAGTAACCCCAGGAAGAAGCCTGCAAGAGAGTGAGGAAATGGGACTGGAAAGGAAGGCAGGTGACAAAGGGCATCATCAGGAAAATACAGCATGGGAAGCTGGGCCTTTTCCCCCCAGGGGCCTGTGGGGGACGATATAGAAGTGTTTCAGGGACTGGGGGTGTAGCAGTAGCAGAGCACTGGCTTTGGATTGTGAGACTCTGGGCTTGATCCCTGATTGCTGCTCCCCGTCCCCTCTCCCTCCTCCCGAAACACACACACACACACACACACACACACACACACACACGACAAACAAAACAGTGCCTTAGTGTTTGTCATGGAGAGCCAGGGGAAACTATCTGTCCACTATATTTCCCCCACTCCTTCACTAACTAATGGTATTGTCACTGGGGCATTTCTTCTTGTTATTTGTTTGTTTGGGGGGAGGCACACCCGGTGATGCTCAGGGCTTACTTTTGGTTCTGCACTCAGGAATTATTCCTGACAGTGTTTGGGGGGCCATATGGAATGCCAGGGATCAAATCCAGGTTGACTGCATGAGAAGCAAGCACACCACCAGCTCTACTATCTCTCCAGCCTCACATAAATGGGACCATTCATATCGGGGCCTTTCCAACCGGTCTTTTACCTTGGACCAGCATTCTTCTTGTGTCAGGGAGTCCTGAACAGAAAAACAGGAGTCAGCCATAAATAGCCTTCACCACAGCACCAGCACCATAGGCACATGGGCTGGTACTGAGTGGCAGCGCAGTGCCCACAGTCCAAAGCTCTGATTCCAGGGTGAGGGTTCCTTGCCGGGAAGCTGGGAAATTCAGTCATCTCAACAGTGGGTTCCTACGATAGGCAACACTGAATCTCTGGTTTGGCAGGCAAAATCAGGCCACGCCCACTCTAGCATCCCACCTCTCCTCCCAACTCCTTTCTGCTCTCAGCCAATTTTTGTGAAATAGAGCAAAGTGTGCAGGGTCAAATCTTAAGGCATAAGTTCTCAGGTTGGAACCCTGGGTCTGCTGGTGTCTGGGGAAAGCAGTGGAAAGGAAAAGCAATTGTGGCTATTTTTTATTCACATACTCACGAGTGAAGCTTGTACAACTACAAATTTGCTTTGGGATTCTGTGAGGTCAGTGCAGTGTGGAGATGGACACCTGTGCTCAGCAGAAGGGCCTGCCCAGGGTTCGTTTTGAGAAGCAGGATCTCTTATCAACCAGTGAAGTTTGGGCCAGAGAAACAGTACCGTGTGTGGATAGGGCACTTGCCTTGCATGCTGACAACCCAGGTTCAATCCCTGGCACCCCATATGGTCACCTGAGCCCTTCCAAGAGTGATCCCTGAATGCAGAGCTAGGAATAAGCCCTGAGTACCTCCAGCACTGTAGCACTGTAGCACTGTCCTCCGGTTGTTCATCGCTTTACTCGAGCAGGCCCAGTAACGTCTCCATTGTGAGACTTGTTGCTACTGTTTGGCATATTGAATACACGACAGGGAGCTTGCCAGGCTTTGCTGTGTGGGCAAGATACTCTCGGTAGCTTGCCGCCTCTCTGAGAGGGGCATAGTAATCAAACTCGGGTCGGCAGGGCTGGCCGCGTGCAAGGCAAATGCCCTACCCACTGTGCTATCACTCCAGCAGTACCTCCAGGTGTGGCTTAAAAGCTCAAAGGAAAAAAAAAGTTGTTTTGTTTTGTTTTCTTGGAGTCTTCAGATAAAGTTTGAGACAGGAATTCTGTGTTAAGTAATTTAGTGGGGAAGGTTTTCGGGAGAAATGAATAAGGGGGTGAGGACAGCAAGGTGCAATAAAGGAAGCAAGTAGGTAAAGATGTTTAGGGTTTAGGGGGCTGGAGAGACAATACGGCTGGTAAGGTGCTTGCCTTGCATGCAACCGACCCTGTTTGACACCCAGCATCCCATATGGCCTGAGCTTCACCAGGAGTGCTTGGGAGACCGTAGCTCTGTTATCCGTTATCAGCATTGCTGGGTGTGACCCCTAAGCAAAAACATGTTCAGGGATCAGCTTGATGCTGGTAAACCTTGGGAGGGTGAATGACTGCATGGACAAAGACCCACCTGGAGATCAGGGTCAAGAGATTGGGTGTTGCCCCTAGGCGAAATGGGACACCTGGGAATCTTAGCTGCCAATACTCAAGTAACTGGGAAAGGAAGATTTCCAACATAAGGTAGAAAGATTTCATAGGAATGGTGTGTGTGTGTGTGTGTGTGTGTGTGTGTGTGTGGTGGGGCAGGGGAGGGGGTGGAAATTGGGGTCACATTGGCAGTGCTCAGGGGTTATTATTCCTGGTTCTGTCCTCAAGAGTGGCCTCTGTCCATACTCAGCGGACATTTTGCAGTGCCATGGATCAAACCACAGTTGACTGCATGCAAGGACCTCTCTGGTCCAAGAATGGGTTCTTTTCTTTCCTCCTACCCACCCCCAAGAATGGGTTAAGAGTGAAAAAGGTTGATTCTGACTACCCCTCCCTAAAATACATATCTTTGAGTGCTAATGGGATTAATGACTTGTCAGTTTTATACTGTTTGGGAAGAGAAAAAAAAAAATCTATAAACTAAACACCATGGAGATGGCTCAGAGGTCTGGGAGGCGCAGAGAAGAGGGCACTTGTCGTGTAAGGGGCAACCCGGGTTCAAGCCCAGCACAGCATATGGTCCCTCAGGAGTGACTCCGAAAACCACCAGGCGTGGCCCCAAGTAAATTAGAGAATGGGCTGGAACACATGCTTTGCTTGCAGAAGAACCAGGTTCATTCCCAGCATCTCAAGATCCTCAAGCACAGAGCAGGGAGTGACCCCAAACACTGCTGGGTGTGGTCCTCAGACCAATATATAAGGCCAGAAAGCTAGGGATAACACAGGTGTTTGCCAGCCCTAGTTGATCCTTGCTATTACATGGCTCTCCCCCCCAACCCCGCTCCCCCACACCCAATAAGCATGTCAGATGA